TCCTGATTAAATTTTAATCAAATTCAAAAACAATGGAATCTTTTTGTTTCACTGAAAAGTTACAACTACTGCCATTGACAATTATGCCTATATATAAAGGCTCTGGACAGCAACAATTTGCTTCCTCCTAGTAGAGTTACTTCTCCAGATTGACTTGGATAGGCCTAGGTCTTTATTGCAGAAATTTTTAAACTCCATGCATGCCAAGATCTTTGTGCCCTTGTGCTTGTCATCCTGATGAGACAATTAAGGACCATAGGAATTTTCCCACTGTTATCTAATGCCTGAGAAGGGCTTGAGGTTGTAGCACTAAAAGAACAAGAACCCAAGGTAATGCTGGGAAAGGGGCAGCCACCGTGTCCCTGTTACGACTCAATTCTCCTGGATCAAGTCACTCAGCATACTGGAACAAATGATTAAACATCCCATTTATAAGCACCGAGAGGATAATAATGGAGAAAAGGGGAAAAAAGCAATGTACTTTTGGCAAACACATATCACACCACCCAGGCCTCATTTCCCTTTTTTTGTACGATAGCTGGCATAACAGATAATGCAGAAGCAATATGTGTGATTATGTGATACATCTTGACTTCAGAAGACCTGACAGTCTTCAACAAGCTAAGAGAATACAGTGGATGTTAAATCTCCATCAGGATGCTTCAAAGAGCTGCAATCAACAGATCGCTCTCTACCAGGGACAGAGGGTTTAGTGGGCTGCTGCCACAGTCTGCTTTTGTGTCCTGATCTCTTCAATACTTTAATTAACACCTTCATGATGGAACAGAAACAAGGCACCTGACTTTTGTCGATGACATTACATTGGGGGCAGTTGCAAGTGCTTTGGAGCCCAGGATCGTAAGTAAACTGAAGTGGTCTCCATGGAGAGACCAACCAGATGGCATCCAACAGCAGCAAGCACAAAGCAGTATTCTCAGAAAGGGGGGAAAACAATTAATGTTCAAACACAAAAGTGAAGAATGAGCTGCAGACCAGTACGAGAGGATTAGAAAGGCAGAAAGACTAAATTAGTGAAAGCAGTGAGGCACTCATATAAAAAAGGTAAATCTCATTTCATTCTGGGGTTAGGTAAGTGAAGTGTGATATGCAAAATATGGCTGGTACTTGTATCTGCATGATTGAATCCTGAACTGGAACTCTTGCTTTGGTTTTGGACAGTACATTTAAAGAAAACATGTAGACAAATCAAACAGTAGTGAAACATATATGCCACAGGGGTTGAAAAAATATGACCTCTGGAAAGCGGTGAGCCTATTAAGCTGCACTAGAGAACTCTGAGACAGAGAAATTCAGGGGTTTCAGGCAGATAAAAGGTAGTTTTGAGGAAGAGGAGAAATAACCACTATGTGTCTTGGAAGGCCAAGAAATAATTGGCAGCAAAATCAATTTGGATCATATGTTAATAACCAAAGGAGAATGAAATAATGGACATGCACCAGGCACATCTTCAAAAAATACATGTATGGGGCAACCACTGTAGAGCTGATCTTGTCTCACTGCATGGGGAAGGACCAGACCATCCCTTGCAGGTCCTTTCAAGTGTTTACTCTTCTGATCACACACCTGCAGAAATAACTGGGGTAGCAAACAGAAAGCTTTGCAACTGGCCATTATAGCCAAATCGAAGCAGCACAAAATGCTGTGAGTGAGGTGGTGGCTCAGAGCAGTCTCTTGGTGCCTTCACCCCAGTGGAGAGAGCACCTGGTAGCCACTGATCTGGGCAAAGACAATCACGTCCAGTCTAGAGAACTGCAAGCAGTGCTGCCCACCTGGATCAGAAAGATGGGAGAGATGGCCATGGTTGTACTAATGAATACTTTGGCAGCGAATGCCTACTTCTACTAGCAGAGAAGCTTTATGTTTACTAGCTTTATTTTTCAAAAGATGGAAAGACTTATGAGGACAACTTTTTCTACTTTTAGCTGTCCATTAAATTCTGATTTTTTTTTAAGTGTCATTTCATTGTGCCCCTTTTAGACCTCTGCAATATGCCCAGTTGAGAAGGATCTTCAATCCCAGTTGAGAGGGATCTTATCCATGGGCATACACACTTTAAGAGAGGAAAGGAATAGACCAAGTAGGGTGTTTTTGCTGAGATTGGTGCTGGCTGACAAAGTAGTTCTTCCCAAGTGAATACTGAAGCATTTGGGCATATACATTAGAGCGGTGATGTCCCTTTTTCTGTGATATACTTCTGCAGCTCTGGCTAGCAGAGTTCACCAAGCAGAGCTCACCCCAGGGAAAGCTGATTTTCTCAAGGCTGGAAAGGACCTGGTCTGAGAATGCAACTCCATTAGACTGCAGTGATCTAAACACAGAAAACATTCAGGATACAGTGAAGCCTGCCTACTTCAGCTGGCATTGTGGACATGGAGTGTCCAGTCTCCAGTCTCCAGTTCTAAAGGCTCCAACAGCACTCTAGGATCTGCCTAGAGACTTATTAGTCTCTGATATAGCTATCCCATTTGTGTCTAGGGCTAATAGAAGTTATCACAGGGGCTAGACAGATGAGGGAGTTGAACTGCAAGAGACTAAGGATTTGTCTTTGGTAGTGGGATGCAGGAATATCTGTGACAACACTGAGTGAGAGGAACAGGAAACCTGGCATGGCCCCAAACCAACCCATTGTCTCCAGGGCAGGAGCAGCTGTCATTGCAGTATCTTTCACTGGCAAATCCAGGCATCAACCATGTGCACAAAGCTAGCAATGAGTGTCTGATCCTGGTTTGCTTTTGTTTGCCTGAGCTTGTTCAAAGGAGACCACTGACCATCATTCTGGAAATTCTCCTCCCAGATTACCAGGCAGACCAGTTGACTACTCTGTCATTTAATGTTTCAGGAGTTTTATTTTCTTTTATTTATTTATTTTTACATTTGGGATGCCCAAAGCTTCAAATAGCCTATGTTTTGAAATTTATGAATACAAAAACAAGAGAATAAAAAAATACATAAAATATTAAATAGTTTAGTATGACTCAATATCCAAACTCCTTTAATTTGTACTAGTAGAAGACTATTTTTCAGGCAGACAACCTGAAAATCTTGGAAAAATAGCAATCAATATAAGAAAATAATACTCTGAGACTACAGGGATTATTTTCTAATATACATTATTTTGTACTGAATTAGTTTTATTAGTTAAGATTATTTTTAAAACATGTTTAGAATGAGACTAACTCTTGCAAATTGGAAAGGATTTTGTACTTATATTTTCCTTCACTTTTTTTTTTCCAGATTAAATTTAGTTTAAAAAATTTAAAGCTATGAGTTTTACCTAATTACAGGATTATACAGTAAGCACAATATCACAATTGGTCTTTTAAGAAATCTGTGGCAGGTGTTAGAACAAAGATTACCCACAGATACCTTATTTACATGCATTTAGGGTTTAAGAGTGTCAAAACCTAAATTTTCTAATTCTCAGAAAGGTGGCAGTAGTTCAGAGCCAGATACCCACGTATTTAAGTGAAAGCTAAGCTAGAGAACTCAATTTTGCTGCTTAGGCCCATATCTAATAGGCACAAATAAAATTAATAATACATATGCACGGCTCTAGAATTCATTTGTCCCTATATTTTTCTTGACAGGTAAATGGAAATTGTGTGCTGTGAGATTTCACCAGTAATAAACCACCTACAGAGGGCTGGCTCTGCTCTGCTGTAGCGAGCAGCGAGGCAGGGTACACCTCCAGGGCTGGGGGAATGCATTTCATGCAGCAAGTACTCAGCCAGGCCGGGAGAGCTGCTCTGTGTGCGGGTGTGGGCTGCTCTTTGTGCTGCTGGGGGAGGATTCTGGGCAAGAAAACCAACAGGAGCCTTTTGGCTCACTACACCTGCGTGTAAAGCATAACCTCTGACCACACATCCAGACTTCTTCACCTTGCAGATAAACTTAGGATGCTACTTAGCCCCCAGTTTGCCAAGTAGTGCCAGCAAGAGGAAAAGTCCTTTCCTGCATGCATTTATAATCAGAGCGATTCAAAAACTTGTTGGGGGAAATGAACTCTGCAGCCTTATGGGTCAGTAGACAAATCAGGAGAAATAACAATTTCCTGCCTGAAGGACAATATAGAAGTTGAACATATCTGTAATATGTATCAAATACATTCATAAATATCTATCAACTAAGCTGCTCTGTAAATATTTTAGATAAATAGGCAGATAGACAAAATGGCATGAAGATTTAAAGCAAAACTAAACAAAACTGGGTAAACTCACTTGTTTGGTGTTCTGGTCTGGACAGGATGGAACAAGAGTAAACTCACTAATGACCTTGCCAATAATTGGTGAACTCTTTAATTTGTTTACTCTCTGCCATAAATGCAGGCAGACAAATAAGACAATACTGATTTGCCAAGTTTCCTATTCCTTATAATACACACAGGAGAAGGGTAGCTAAAAAAGGAAGGAGCAACATAAGGTACGTGGCAAGTCCCTCGGGTACCAGGTTTCACACATGCCTAGTGATGGTGCACCCTGCAAACCAATGATCCAGCATGAAAAAAACTCACAGGAAAATTAATTCCTTAGCCTGGCAATGAGTTGACTATGGAAGGCCAAAAAACACAGCACAGTAGCTTGTTGACAAGAAAAAAGAAAGGAAACCTGAGGAATAAGGAGGCAAAGAAACCAGAGGGCTCTCTGGGAAGAGATAAGGCACAATGTTCTGAAAAGTGTCATTATAAACAAATGCTTTCCCATCAGTGCCAAACAACCAGAGCCAGGAGCCAGGTTTGCATTATATTAGAATATGGCTTGGCATCACTGGTGTCCCCTGCTCTGTCACCACTTTTAAAAGGACAAACTGACAGCAGAGTAAAACCATGCTACGCCACAGTGGAAGGAAAGAGTCCAGCTGGCTCCTGTGTAAACATAAAGGACACACAGGCTACTGGCTCTCAAGTTTCTCTTCGAAAAATACAGCTCCCTCCACTCACTCTGTCTTTTGCTCTTTGCTCTCCTATCAGGCATGTTGCTTACCTTGCACGATCAGGTAAACCTGGGAAGTCTTGGGATGATGCTGTGTCTGCACTGAACACGTATAGGACCCCTCATCGTAGACATCCACTTTCTGGATCCGCAGGCTGTATTCCAGGGGGTTTCTCTTCTCCAGCTCTACTCGAGGGTCCAGGGACCACTTGTCCTCTCCAGCAAAAATGATGCCGGAACGATTTAACCAAGCCACCTTGGAGCTTCTGTCTTCTACATAACACCTGCAGAGGATGAGACAGGTAAGGGAGATTAACAACCTTCTCCATCATCTCACTTTTATTCCTTTTCTTTACTGCTTTGCTGAGAAACTTCACACCACACTCCTGCCTTGCCAGTGAACCACAGAATCTTCTCACCATTATTGTCTCATGGAATTCAACTCTATTGAAGAGTTTCAGGAATCTTTAGTTCATAAACCAGACATATCACTTGTTCTCTCTTCCTTTTGCCTGTGGCCTACATATGCACCAAAATTAATTTGGAAGGCCACAAGAGATCTTGATCACCAAATCCCTTCCAACCCTGCCAGTGAGAAAGATTGGAAGTAGCTCTTCCCACGCTTCTCCTTCAACTTCAAAAAGTTGAGTATACAGTAGTTAAACTCCCAGACCCCTTCCAGCCTGGAGGGCAAAGTTTCAAGGCTCCAGCTTTGTCAGCTCAGGGCACAGCTCCTCCATCACACACACACTTGCTGATGCACATCTGCTTGTTTGTTCAGGCAAGTGCAGATTTCAGGCTGAAAAGGAGAGGTTGTGGGAGTGTCACTGTCATCCCTGTGATATACACAGCATGTCCTGTGAACATCTCAGGTGGACAGGAGAGGAGGAATGACAGCTAGGGGTGGGAAGCAAAGGAACAGCAGCAGGACCAGAAACTGCCAGGGCCCTAAGTGCCAACCTTCCCAAGTCAGAGGACAAACTAGTCCCATTGCAACTGTAACTTGACAAGTATTTTGTTTCTTGGTGGAGAGCAGAGTAGGTGCTGTGAAGACAAATGCATTTTTGGCAAAGGCACCTGCTCGGTACCACTTCCCACCACCAGAAGGAGACTTGCACAGAAAAGAGGAGGAGCTGCCACTGAGGAGACACGTTCTGCTCACTCTCAGCTATATCTCATTCAAGAGGCCCAGGGCTGAAGAAGACAGGCAGACATAACTCCTCTTTCATCCTGGCAGTTGCACCACCAGGGCTGGGCTGAGGCTGAGAGCAGGTTTGCCCTGCTGCCACTCACATCACATTAGCTCTCTAGATAAACAGGGAAGCTCAGTATCCAGAGCTGTTGCTCCTTCACCTCTCAGAGCTTTGCCCAGTGTCCCAGCATCCAGATGACCCAGCACCTCTTGCCACTATTATTACAGAATCACTGAATAGGTAAAATTGGAAGGGACCACAGTGAGGTTGTATGATCAAACCTCCCTGCTTCAGCAGGGTCTTCCTAGATCACATTGCATAGGATTGTGTCCTATTCACTATTCATGCATATGTTGTATTTGAAGGAAAAAAGAAAGAGGATAAAGATTATTGCTTCAAGATAAGACAAATATTTGACAGTAGGCTTTCATAAAGCCTTTTAGCATGGGTCAGACATTTTCCGAGTTCCTCTATTTGAATGCATTTCATTCAAGGCTGCTGCAGCTGCCTTCCCTTGTGATGTGACCCCACCATTATGGCCGGCACCTTACACCCACTCTCTTTTGGCAAGCCCATGGATGCTGTCCAAGTTGTTCTGGGGTTACTTGTGGGCAGGAGGAAAGCCAAGCTGTGTGGGCATCCATGGGAGCCATGCCATGCTGCTGGCCAAGCTGTGAGCAGCTCTGATCTGGCAAACATTTGCTTTAGAGAGCAGCCCAACAGATCCTGTCTTTTACTGACAATGTCCAGCCAAGGGAGTGAGAATTTGTCCCTCAGGCCAGAGCCCACTCTCCTGGCCAGGCAGGCACTTGTCCCCAAGGTGAACTCTCAGGTGTGATCTGAGTTGTTTTCAAAAAGCTACTCTTTGTTGAAAAGAAGGATGCAGGGGAATCTGTGAGCAGTCACTTGCAGGTAGAAACCAGCACCACTACAATGAGGCATTGCTCCTGTTCCATTGGCCATCCCAGGCAGTAATCACCAGTGATGGAAGGTAAAAGCGAGGACCCAGGGAGTGCAGTGTGCTCCAGGGCTGGGAGCAGTGGCCCTGTAGGAAAACTCAGACTGTCTCCAGAGCTGGCTGCCTTAGGGTCAAGAAGCCTCTTGCAAATGCAAGTTTTAACAGCACCAAGAACCAGGGGCTAGGTATTTTGGTAGCGAAAAGCTAAGCAGATTAACAGTGGAAGCTGAAGTCAGTGGGAGCTGAAGTTTCTCAGTCACTTCTGAAAATCCCCCTGAACAGCTATCAGTGCTGCTGGACTCCACCAGATCCATGGCACTGCACCATTCCCACCAGGCTGCTTTCCCATCCTCACTACAAGGGCTACAGCAAGCACTCAGCAGCTCTGCCCTGCCCCTGATCATTATAATTCTCTGCGATAGCAAATATGCCCCTGTATGGTGTCTTGTCAGTAACAGTTCAGTGGTGTGGTCTGAACAAAGCCTTGTGCTTTTGCTCCTGTAGGTAGGCTTCAACCAGGGACCCTCCCTCCTCTCTCTGGAAAAGAAAATGTGTCATAACCTTTCTAACATGCATCCAGGTCAGCCCTAGGACAGTGGTCAATAGCTACAGTCACACAACCTTGCAACTGCCCCTGAAATAAGTTAGCAGGTGCTACCAAAATAAAGAAAAAAAAAGGACAAAGAAAAGAGGAAAATGGGAGGAGTAAGTGAAATGGATTTGAGCCCTCTATTCACCATACCTGTTCCTCTCAAGCTGTCAGGGAAAATCAATGTACAAATGTGGAAATTCCAAGTCCTAGCATGCTCTGAACGTGCATTCATGTGGATGATGCATCTCAGTATGTCTGTCTGCACATGCACACACACACACCCACCCTCTTAGTCTGCCAGAGATGCCACCCAGCTGAATGGATCACGCTTTAATAAGGATTTATGGTGATGATTTTCACAGTGTAATAAGTGCTAATTCAATACTAATAGAATATTAAATGGCATGTTAACTGACATTTTAACTGCAAAGCAATAGGAACATGGCATCAGCCAGATATCAATGGACTCTTATCGTTCACTAATAATCAATAATCAAGTTCACAGAGACAGTCAAACGCTTTTCATTAGACTTATTGGAAGCATTACCATCAGCCTCAGTGAAAGCTAATAAACAGTTTGTGATCCATGCATTATTCTTTTCCTTATGGTTGCAGGTTTGATTTCTTGACATCTCTGATGTGGCTAACAAGAGGACCAGTGAATGGGGATGGGCATGCCTTGCATGATCACTGTAACAACCTGGGAACTGTTAATCTTGCACCATTTCAAACCACAGACATGGAAGGACAAAAGATCTTGCTGCCATGCCCTACTAGTCCTCCTTGCCTCTTTGTAAACAAACACAGCCAAGTTTGGCACCTGAAGGTTTTTAGCAACAGTTGTATGTGGAGAAAGAAATCCAGGTCATCCTCGTACTCCTCCCCCAGTCTTTTTCCCCACATGCAAATGCAGACAATGGGGCTGAGCTGCACTACATGAGGGATGGGATGGAGTGATGCTTTATTGCAGGAGAATGATTTTGAACCTTCAGCAGGAGCCACTGCCTTGGATGAGATAGAGGGCCACCCACCATCATTCCTGGTCCCTGGATTTCATGATGGGCTGGGACATCTGGCAGCACGCAGGCAGGGGGAAGGCAGGAGCAAGTCCTGCTGCTTGTCCTCCCTCCTCCATCTCCTGCCAGTCTAACAGGCAGCACTGGGCCACAGCAGCACTCCTGCAAACCTGCGCTTGTAAGCCCTGAGGAACACTCCATCTGGAGAGAGACACATTCCCTCCCCCCCCCACCCTTCTTCAAAGTATTTGGGCTTGTTCCTATTGATGGGTGAGAGAGCGAGTGAAGGAAAGGAGAGTGAGGCTTAGGCATCCACATCTCCTACCCCGGCAACGCAAGGCTGGAGATTTCAGCGCCCCTTCTGCCTCAGTCAGGCCCCGGTGTTTTGATTCCCAGCGCCCGTGACTCCTGCTCCTTCTGCGGTGGATGGAGGCAGCGCCACTCAGCGCATTGATTTCCCAGCGTGTTGCTGTAACACTCATCGCAGTTTATGTTGTGCCTGTCACTCCAGCAGCTCTCGGCCCTAAGCTTTCCGCCCTCTCTCTCCGCCGGCGAACAGACGGGCCCGGCTGCGGAGAGGCGGCGTTGCCTGGCGAGCCCCGGCGCGGCTCCCCGGCTGTGTGCGGCACTGCCGCGCTGGGCCCGCACGGCCTGCGGAGCGGGGCGCGGCCGGGCCGGGGTCTCAGCAATGGGCTGCCCCTCTGCCCCAGAGAACGCAGCACAGCAGCTGCGGCCTAGGCTGCAGAGATGGACTGGGGGTGTTTCATCCCTTTGGAAAGGGATGGATGATATTTAGAGCCTAGAGTGAGGAAAAGGCAAGAAGGAAGCCCTTCAAGGCCTGGTGAAGCTGCTGTTTAAATGATTGCTTTAACATGGAGATTTTACAGCATTATCAATGATGTATTGGGTTGCACTGAAGCTGGGATATTTATTTGGGGTTTTAAAATTGTTGTTGTAATTCTAAATTTTTTTTTTTTTTACAGCAGACCCAAACCCACAATTCTCTGTCAAAACCCCACCAGTGAGAAGAAGCAAGCTGCTAGGATTAATGAAATATTAATGAAATATTGCTTTGCCAGCAAGCCACAGCTCTTACCTCATTTTGGGGAAAAATAAATAAATAGTGAGTTTATGGACTGCATTTTCTGCCCTCTTTCTCCAAAGCCTGTTGTGGAGACAGCTCTGTGCCACAATTTCCACACTCCTTTTAATCATCTTTTCTCTGTTAACCCTTTGATCATCTCTTCTGTAAGACAATCTCTGTGCATCAGGCCAAAACTCAGCAGCCTGCTGCACACACAATTAAGCACCCAAACCCCACCCCACTGTGCTCACTGAGGGACGTGCTGCCCTTTTGCCAGAGGATGCCACAACCCACCCTGCATCAGATCTCCTGCCTTCGCCTCAGCTCTGTGATGAGCCCGCTCTAATCTTCTCACTTCACACACACGCTTACAAGATCCAGCTAATAACTTCCCCCGCTGCCCTCCACCCCCAGCAGCAAAATGGCAAGAGGGAGAAGAGA